ATATAGAGGTGAAATTTTGAAGATAATACCAAATATTATAATAGAAACTAACTCTTTCAAAAAGTTAAAGGTTTTGTTCAAAAACTCTATTAAATTTATGATTTAATTAGCTATTTGTTATAGTGAATTAAAAAATAAAAATATTGCAATACAATTCTGAGTTAGTGTTATAAAATATATTACATCCTGTAAATTTTTTGTACATTTATATATGTTTATTTTTTGTATTATCAATACTTTTTTCTTGATGTTATCAATAATAATTTCACATAAAACTTGAATAGAGTGTTTAGTAGATTAGCCCTTATAAAAGCCATGGTAACATTCAGACACTCTTTTTTTTTATTGGTGTTAAGCCTGAATTACGTATACCTTCAATGCTTCAAGACGTAATCATATGCCATTTATAGATCTTTCTGTGTAATAAATCATATAATTATCGAAAAAAACAACAACTATCCTTTCTTTAATTATATTAAAAATATATAAAATAGTTTCCTAAATATTCCTAAGTCCCTAAACAATATGGTAAACTCCAACAGATTTGAGATTCTTTTTACGAAATCCTTTCCACAATATTTCTTTAAATATTTTGAGCAATCAAAATTAACGGCAGAGGGAGGAAAAATTGTTAAATCACATAAACAAACGACAATACTCTAGTGCTTGCATCAGCTAAACCTGTTGAAGGCGTGTTTATTTACCTGTATAGTTTTATGTAGCTTATCAAGTTTTTCCCGAAACCATAAGATGTTTTGAAAATCTAGAAATTATTTGAATATTGTTGGTATTCGTTCTATTCTAGTCAGCGCGCGGCATATTTATTCAAAGTTACATAAGCTAGGAATAATACTTTAATAATAAAACTAAAACATGGTCTTAAAAGGCAAGTCATAGGTTTTCTTGTTATATCTTCGTGTACATCTGTTTACCCAAGAGTGCCTTTGTTCAGAAGCATTAAAACTAGAACTAGAAGTGCACCAGATTGAAGTCTGTGGTAATACATAACTTATTACATGTACTATAGATTGAAGTCTGTCGGAATATACAACATACCACAAGTACTATGTATATTTAGTCTGGGGTAATACATAACTTATTACATGTACAATAGGTTACAGTCTCTGGTAGTACGTAACTTTAGTGGTTTAAAAACGTTTTTTACAATCCCATAATGCGTAGTTTTGCGTGTTATATCATAAACTTTCTGGTTATATGTTCTTGAAGATATATTTTTGCTGTCAATTTACTCTGTTAATTGTAAGTTCGACGCAAAAACTGATATAATTGTTCATAAAATAGTGCCTTGTTACAAAATTATTAATATTAAATTTTTTTAAACTCGAATAAAGTTTCTTACGGTTGTGGTAATACATAAGTTACTACAAGTACTATAGATTGTAGTCTATGGTAATACTTAACTTATCACAAGTACAGTAGGTTACAGTCTGTGGTAATACCTACTTTTAATGGTATACAAAACAAATCTAGAATTCCATAATACAGGTTTTTTGGGTGCTACATCACAGGAAGACGTATCATCTGTTTTCAACAAAAACAAGATTTCAAGTTAATTTAAACTTTTAGTGAAGACTTAGTAAAGCTTTCTAATATTTTCAATAACATTGTTTGTGTAAGTTACAAGCAAAAAAAAAAGGACAATTATACACACATGTCTACTATTAACTGAATTCTGAGCTTCTTTAGCATCAAATACAACTACGACAGAATGTTCACGAAAGGGATGTCAGTATGGCAGTACTTATGGCTTTCATATTCGCTAGTACTTATTGGTGGCTCAGTGGTAAGCTTAAGGGCTTATAACACTAAAATTTGGGTTTTGATAATTGCACTTAGTACAGCACAAATAGCCTATTTTACAAGAAACAAAATTGAACGAGATAAAAAGATGGTATTTTCAAAAGAAGTGTCCGTGTAAGCTATTATTCAAATTTCACTCTATACTCATACCCAGAGATGTTTGCAAACCACAGCTAGAATTATATTATTATTTGTATTATATGATGTATTTCTTCTCAAAGGGTCAATATCATTATTTATATGAGTAAGAGTTGCTACCAAAGGAAATGGACACCTGCAAATATGTTAACGCCACAACGTATACAGATGACTACAATGGATATTTTTAAAGTTTTTTTTCTATCTGGCAGCACTATTTTAGAATGTATGTGTGTGTGTGTATTTCTATAGCAAAGCCACATCGAGCTATCTGCTGTGTCCAACGAGAGGAATCAAACCCCTGATCTTAGCGTTGTAAATCCATAGACTTACTGCTGTCCTACCGTGGGACCGATTTTAGAACTAATAGAGACTTTTGTTTAAGGTTCTTAAGATTTCTCATGAGCACTCTGAACAGGATAACTCGAACATACACAGTTAACGACGTCCGTGGGTGAAGCAATAAGAGAAAGTCCGAGAACACTTGTGTTTCAAAGTACCAAACGTATACGTTGTCTACTCAGATGTACATCTCGAACATCTAAATAATTTCATGGTTGTTACACATTACCTACTTATACTCGATCGCGATTATTCAGATCGTTACTTATGTATTATGTACATTGCCCGTGCTTAGAAATCAATTAAATATTTATCTATACTTTTAGGACATGCTTTTCGATAACGTTTCATTAACTTTGCTACTTCAACATGTAACACACTTGTCATTCAGTAGTCGCAGATTCTGCAGGAAAATATTTGTGAAATTTAAGAGATAGAAGCTAATATGATACCGAGGACATTTATATACATTTCTGTTGCCTAGATACAAGTTGTCACTAACGGGAAATTTATGTCGCATATTTTGATTGTTTCTTTACGAAACATTAAATTTTTAGGCACATATATTATTATCCTTATAAGATGTAACTGTGATATGAAAAAAATAAAGATCCAATTTTGTTATTACAGATTATAGAAGATTTTAGGCAAATACAGCTATTTAGAAGTCGTCTTTTGTTATTATACCCAGCTGCAAGGTATGTAAAGTTCAGAATCGTGCGTCACTTATAAACGAGTCATTAAAACTTATATTTGATGTAATTTATGAAAACTTTTACTGTGTTATTGAATAGTTGAAAGTATTTTTATTTCACTAATTTACAAAAAAATAAAAAACAGTGAATCACAACGCTAGAATTTCCATACCCGTGGTGGGCAGAGCACAGAAAGCCCTTTGTGTAGCTTTGTGCTTGACTTCAAACAAACTAATTTACAACACTAACATTTCAAGCACCATCTAGTGGCGTGATGAGACAATTATTGTCTTGTTCACGTTTGTTTAAATCGCATGAAAAATATCAGAAACAAAATTGTACGGATTAGGTGATTTATGCGTTCACATTTTGGACGAGTAAAATATGTACCAGAGTTTAACAGGCCTATATACACTGGAACACAGGAAATGTTTGTGCAATCGAACTGTTAAAACTGGCACTGGGAAAGCCTCGTTCTCGGATATTATATGGATTATTGAAAGCCTTCTGGGACGAATGGTGTGCTTTGGACATGACAGTTTTATGGGGGAGCCTTTTCCAATTAAAAACTACGTTACAGGGTATTGTCTAGATATACGGTTGTGAGGTAGAACATGACCGAGGATTGTGACATGTACTGTAGCGATGTAATGAGGCTCCAAAATCGTCTTACACAATCCCACTATATATTCTACAATTTTTTTATTTTGTGGCCAACCAATCGTGAACTTACCATTGACCAAACAGTTGAATAAGTAGAAGAGATGTTAATGCTGGTGTACTCAAATTAAATTAGTAATTTAATTAAACCTAAATTGGCTGGGGTCATGTGCTAAATTCTGCCTGAAATGCTACTTTCTGTAGATTGTGTGGTCAAGGAACCTTTCTGCTATTTTACGTTTTTTGGCTATCACATGTCATCTGTTGTCCATTTACTGATTGGTCAGTTACAGAGAAAGTATATATATATAGTAAGTGCAGTTTGTACCTTTCACAAAAGAAGAATTTTATATCTTAAAGATGAAAGATGGTGTTTCTGATCTAAGAGGACCAGAACTCGCTGTGAAGTCTTGTTGCTTTTCATTCTATTCTATTATTGTGCCAAATGGTAATGTACTGTTTAACTCTATCGCCAGTAAGGTTGATTTTATCTTCACCTTTTCTTTCTTGCTGTTAAACACAGCCATCTGTTCTTTAGTTTCTCTTATTAAAAATACTATAGCTTGGATTTCTTGCAATTATACTTTCATTAGGTCAGCTGTTTTTTATGTTCTGTCAGTAATGAGGTATTTTATTTTGGTTTTAACTTCGCTCATTGTCTTATCGTGACATTTCATCTGCAATAAATCACCATACCTGTCCTGCGTATTAGATCCCGAACCTTTTTGAGTGCTCAAATCAAGTAAAGATGAGCTACGTTTTTCCTTGAGTTACCACACTGAAGTTTGACCGTTTCATTCAACATGTGCTAGTATATGTAGATTTATATCAGTTTATATCAGTTTTACAAAGTAGTAAAATAAATAGTAATGTACGTGAACGTTTTACATACTTTTAGAACTTTTCATTTTGATACATATAAAGAAACTGATATGTCTCAGATTACTGATCGAGCTTTATAAATGCATGATGTAATTATCTTTTTAATCTGCAAAACAATGGGAAAAGGAAATGATTTATATAACTTTCAAAGGGATGTGACATTTGGTGTCGACAATCTGGTTTCCTCTTGGTCCGTCACTTGAAAATTAGAAACGGCTAGAGCAGATTTTCTGATACATCTGTGGTTGTTGTTTGTTGAATTTCACCAATATCTACTAATAAATAGTTGGACTGGCCCCTATATTATAACACTTCCACAACTAAAAGGGATAGTTCTTCTACGACGGGTTTAGATCCCACTATCTGCAGATAGCAAATTAAACATCCTAAACACATATTTTGAAGTTTTTATCATTTAGAACAAATACTCAAGAAATTCATATCAGATATGAATAAAATATATGCTTTTATCGTGTAGCTGTTTAATTCACAGAAAATACTGTTTAAAAAATGAAGTATATAAGTTGTTGTTTTGCCTCAGAGCCACTAACCAGTGATCATTTCTTCAGTTTTTGGACAACGTGATCTTTCAAATATTTACGTTCAATCTTTCCGAACTGTGACCGAGGAATTTTGTCTATAAACTCCAATCCCTTTAGCTGTTTCTCTGGCGCTAGACGAGCTGTTAAAACAAAATACAGTCTTGTAAGGTAGGGCTGTATCTTAAAGTTATCACATCAGTTTAAGTTTGGTTATATTAAGTTATATCTTAATTGTTAAGACACAAGTATAATTCTCTTAAGGCTGTACTGTATCTTAAATTTTAACATACCAGTCGAAGTCTGGTAAATCTGGGTTATTCCATAAAACTATCACACCGGTTTATATAAGAAAAACAAATAATAAATTATCAAATTTTAACTTATCATTGGCAGTTCGAAATGGACAGACTTTGTCAGTATATACTGGTTATGTATAACTGTGTATGCATTTTGATGTAGTTCTTGAATTTTAATGGTTAAAATACAAAAATAATGAATTGCAATGAGTGAGTTTTGTACATTTTTCAGTAATCTCGAAAATGTTAGGCAATAACACTATAGCGTTCAAATCACTAACGGTGGTTTATTGGTAAGATTGAGGGCTTATATTGTTAAAAATAATTGGGTTTCATGTATAACCAGTGACGGGCACAGCGACGTTTGTCCATTGTGTTGTTTTGCGCTTAAAAAAAAACAAACAAGTTTACTTATATATATATAATTGTATCTGCTTTCAACAGTATCATTTCAACTTATATTCTACTTTCCAATACGGATGTTTATAACATAGCGGGTCAAACAAAAACGAAAGTAAAACTAAGACCATTTTGATTGTTGCAAGCAAGTTTCTTTGAAGAAATCTGACTTTTTAAGGTTAACACTCTCATACTTCTTTGACAACTAAAAATGGTAAGTGTTAAAATACCATAAAGTAATTATTATAATCAAAATTAACTAAATGGGTTTAATTAAAGACATCAGGAATGATTTGGACAGTAAAGTCTTTCTATAGTTTATTTTGAACATTATTGTGTGTGTTTTTCTTGTAGCAAAGCCACATCTAGCTATCTGCTGTGTCCACCGAGGGGAATTGAACCCCTGATTTTAGCGTTCTAAATCCGTAGACTTACCGCTGTACCAGCGGGGGACTGAACATTATTGAATATTATTGCTACTTGTAATTTGGTGTTAAGCCAATAGAGAGCGCTGCAATTGGTCCTTGTACATTTATGTGGACTAATCTTTGGCTAAATATTGCATACATGGCTATGAACTTTTTACATTAACAAACTAGCTGAAATGCTATAATACACGTTTCTTCTTCTTGAAAAAGTGCTGAGAGATTGAATAGAAATTTAGTGTTCAGAAGTATACAAACCTAATACTGTTCTATTATGACAAATATAGTTAAATAATGATGCTGCGTACTCATTGTTTGAGTAACATGAAAATTCGAGCCATTTGTTTAATATTTACCATAATATTCATACATTACGATACTTTCGAGTATATCTTAAACTGGAAAAGTTAGTTATCCATTTCTACCAATAATGTTTCTGACAGAGAAGACAATTTTACCGGAAATAAAACAATGTATGTTTTCAGGTGTCACGTGACTATCTGGTTTCATCACCACAAATCCATAAGGCGCTTCTCCTAAAGTGGAATCTGGGATTCCTACTACAGCGGCGTCCTCTATGGCCTGATGACTACATAACACAGATTCTATTTCAGTAGGAGAAACTTGATGAAATCCTGATTTGATCATTTCTTTTAACCTGTCAGTGATGTAGAGATTTCCCTCCAAGTCGTAATGGCCAAAATCTCCTGTTGAAAACAACTATTGTTGATAAGTGTATATTTTTAAGTTTATTGAATAATATCTTTATTATATGTTTCATTTTACTATTTTAGATGAACTTCGTCGATAAGAGTCAACATTTATTTCTTTCCCTAAAGCGATGTTAAATTTGCATTTTAAGATCATCGTTCTGTGGTTCCACTTGTAAATTTTGTGAAGACATAGAATTAGAGATCGGGTTGTATTCCAGCCCGCGTCTTTGTTAATCAAACACAAACTACTTCCCACATAAGTTATCGGGTTTCTAATGCAGCCGTTCTTAATTTCTAATTCTCTAGTTAATAAGGGTAAAGTTTAATAGTTCCATTGAGCAATGGAAATCGGCTTGTAAAAATTAAAATTATCAAGTGCAAAGCACTTAAGAAACTCAAGAAAAGAATTCACTCTCAAGGCGGTTGCAAACATTTTTTTTTCTAAAGTTTCTTTTGTGTTTGAAATGTGATTTTTTAAGTTGTTTTTCAAGCATAGAGCTACAAAAGGGACAATCCGTGCCTATTGTAGATATCGAAACTTGAATTATAACGTTATAAGCTCTCATGCTTACCGGTGATCCATTAGGAGGATGATATTTAGGGGCCAGGTTTTCTTGTGTCCATTTTGATGTCGCCAGTGTTCTGAGTACGTACCTTACACAAACATGTAATAATTTGTAAATGATAGACGATTGGACAGAGATTTCCAAACACATATAATATGTTGAGTTTGTGTTACGTTTTTCCAGAAAACCAAGAAAATAAACAATGATGGGGTGTTAAAAGTAGCATGTTGCCAGCAGAAAAATGTAATTTCAAAGCAATAACACAAAAATTGTATGTATGACTTAAGCCTTTATCGTGATTAATTAGTAAACACTTATGTTTTGAAAATTTGTTATTAGCTGATTGTCCCATTACTTTTTCACATATAAAAATATTCAAAAATAAAAAAAAACATGTCACCATAATCACGTGTTCTCCTTTACAGTTGTTTATTTTCAAGACAATAAATTAAAAAATTTTGAGTAAATAAAAAGATTAGAGTTAAATCAATCCGGGAAGTATATAATTTGATTTGATCATACCACAAACACAGAGTATCAAGAGATATTGGAGGTATGTCCATTTGGAGCTTGTAATAAAATTAGTTTTTTTATAAGTACATGATCTCTTTTACGCATATATCTAGTGTAGATAATCAAATTATGTCATTTTGTTATATTGTTATACACAACATCCAATACATTTGTTGTTATCAATAACTGAAAGGGTAAAAGTAAATTACATTCTTCAATAAAAATCACTGAACATAAAATCACGTGAACGTCTTTACATGTTCTACATTACTTTAGTTTTGTTTCAGAGGGGAATGTATAGAGTGCATAATGCTTTAACGTTTATTTAGTTTCCACGATGTGTAGATGATTAGGGTAAGGTGGATTTGAAATGTATTAGTCATAAATCAACTCATTTTCCTGCAAGAAAAGTCCTTGAAAGTGGGATTACATAACACATGTGTATCTCTTTAGCTGTATAACTAACATTCAAATGGTGTGAGTGGTGGTAGTTTTAGATTTGAATGACTGATACATTACAAAGTTAAATCTGTGAGCGATAATTAGGGGTCTATTTATAAAAACAGATAATTGGGGACATGGTGAGATGCATGGAAAGGTACTCACAGAATGGGTAAAGGAGATCATCATTTTAATTCAACTCCTTATATATGCTTTGCACTTCTTAGTATAATGCCACATTATGATAAAATCTTACGTTTATGATTTGTGGAAGTAATGCAAAATAACTATTCTTACTGCTATAACTGGTTGGCCCAGCATGGCCAGGTGGTTAGGGCACTCGACTCACAATCTGAGGGTCAC